GTCGAAAAACAAACAGGCAAACATTTATTTCCACAGTGATCCACAAATACAGTGATCCGTTTGAATGCTCATGTACACTACAAACACGGTAAGAAACTGTTTTTCTCCACAGCTAGTTAAAGCCCCCCGTTGCTCCACACTGTCCGTCGCAAAACGCTCCCCCCGTGCACAGTTACCGTGTGTTAAAGGAACAGTATGTAAAAATTAAATAAGGCAAGAAAAAATACAATTTAACTGTAAATCTTACACTAAACAAATTATAAAGTAAAAACTGAAATTCCCCATTATCTTACACTTATCCTTATCCAAAATGATTCAAATTATTAACAAATATACACTCTGTGCAATCTGAATAAACTAAGAGATGATTATACCTTTATCCTATACAAGCAGGATGACAAACATAAAGGAACAGAAGCTCCAGCATTGGGAATTTTTCAGAGGTCAAAGCCAATTAAGTTATAAGTGACTGTTTCTGGGGGTTTACAGGTATTCTTGTTTGTGGGCCCCATGCTAAATGTAGAATGTCCTTGTTTTCAGACGTGATAACATCAGAAGAACATTATTCCTAACAGTCAAACCAAAACACAGACACAAGGAAGGCTCAGATCTTTTGTACAGGAGTAGAAATGCTGCATAAACAAGCTAATAAAAGCCAACATTTGCTAAATAATTAGGAAGTTTCATTGCTGTGAACAGGTGTCGCATACACACACGAGCAGGATTCCTGCCAAATCAAGACACGCAAACGGCCTAATATAAAACGGAACGGTGGATTAAAACATTTCTGGAGTAGGATCACCAGAGCCCTCGTAGAAAGAAGTCTACATCCATGCTGTTTATAAAACAAGAATAATTTAAGTGTAGTGAGTGCAGTAACGTTTAGTCATCTGGTCAACTACTTGCATAGGTCCCCGTCAGCTCGGGGAAGGATGGACTTATGGAAATGATGACAAACTTCCACGTCAGCTTCCTGATTGAGTCTTATCAGTTACACAATGTCCTTCCTGATTCATCCATCACCTGATCATTTTTCATATTTAAGCAGAAACATCAGCTTTGATTAACAGTTGCTGATTCATAAAGGATGGCACCCTGCAGGAATCACAGGCCTTATTATCTGTACCAGCGGACTCTTAAAGTAAATTTTAATCATCCTGTGGTTAAACCAGATGGTCGTATCATAGTTTCATGTGGAGAGATTTATTATTTCAATTGTTTTTAGTTTTTCTGAAGTGTCAACAACCAGAAAAAAACATAAATATATAATTGAACACTTTAATTAAACGTGAAGAAGATAAATTGGTATACACAAAACTGTATGAAGATGTGGTTCATTCCACTGACCTGTTTTATGTGCAGTATAATAGAAACAGCACAACACAAACTGATATCCTAAATGTTCATACTTTAGTTTAATTTCTGCCTCATGATGAAGTTGATATGAACTACACACTTTGGGAATAACTGATGAGAAATCTGAAGTTTATCCTTTGTTGCACTTTTACAATACTTGTCTTTGTAGTATTGGGAGGAGACACCAATCCCCTGGGGGTTGCTTCAGGAAGGGCACTGGTGTAAAAATCTGCCAAACGTGCAGAGTTACCCGCTGTGACGATCTCCTGTGAATAAGGGAGCACCTGAAAGTAGCTTGTAGTAGTTTTAGAAACTGTTGACTTTCACTTTATTTATTTTTTAGCTTTAGCAAGAATCACATCTACACATCTACTTTTATAGTATTTATTTCAGCATCATTCATCATGTTTCTCAGCTGGTGCTAAAATACTGAGCTGATGGTGCATTGCTGCTTTGACTTTTCTCCTTCAATGCTCTTTGATGAATTGGAGTGTTTTTGCCTCTGAAATGATGTAATCTTAAGTAAGTTCTTTCTCAGGATAGTGACTCACTATTGTCATAAAAATGATGTTATGACAGGGTTAGGGGTTTAGATTAAATTATTGAAGCCGGCCCGAGTGACTCCTAAGTAATATGATCTGCACAGCAGCCTAAACATAAGACAGCCAATCGGCTGCATTAGACGGGCAGTGGGCGGGCCTTGCTCCGCACGTTCCCCTCACGCTGCCTCTGGGACGTGGTCGAGGTATGTGCATTTCTTCACGTCTCCTCTGCTGGCCTGACTCAGTTTTCAGCTGGAGGAGAAGAGAGCAGGTTGGGAAGTGCTTTTGTGGAAACGACTACTCTGACTTAAAAAAATTAAAAAAAGCCGCCTCCCGTCTCCCACGCACTGCCTGAAACCTCAAAGTGCTGCATAAAGACTACATGCTGAATCGCCTCATCGTTTTCATAGTGAAACTGCTGTTGCATCACAAGTCCAGCCTCTTTTAAGTCCAGTTTTAGTAAAACCCACAGAAAGTAAACATGTTTTAACGGCCTCACAAACAGTTTTATATTTTTCAATCATTGAGTGGTGATTAAACTGCTGAGGTACTTAAATATGAAAGGGGAAACGACTGAGCCTGAGTTGAAGTTGTAAAGAGCAGTTAGGTTTCAGAAATTGCAGAAGTGCAAAAATTTTAACTGGCAAAGGTGCTTAAGTGTTCACACCCATAAAGCGAGTCGGGTTGTCTCCGTGTGTTACGTGTGACCACAGGGAGTGCTGTGCAAATTCACTTCAATCTCACGCCCCCCAAAAATTTCAAGGTCTGCCTGATCCATTGGTGCTTTTAAATAGTTTTGTACTTAAAACTAATTGGTGCACTGAACTTTTAGGCGTAGTGTTACTAATGTTTTTGGGGATACAAAGAGGAGATTGTGAGAATAAACTCTTTAAAAATGTGATTGTCCCTGTTCAGCATGCAGATTGCACCTTTCTTAAAACTCTTGATGATGTGAGTGGTTTGCTGTAACGGAAACAAATTCAGGCCAAAAAGGACAAATTAAATAAAATATGCACAGACTGTAGGGTATGTCCTCAATACAAAAACATGCATGCATGCAATGTAAAGAATGAAGTTGGTATTTTGTTTGCCGGTATATTATTTTTATTTATAATAACATGTTTGTTTGTTTTTTAATGTTAAAATCATGCTTGGTTGAGATGGTAGAGTGCCACGTAATCAGCTGATGCTAGTGTTCATTGTTGACAAGCTGACTTTATAAAAACGTACAGGTGCGCTGCACAGACACAGATTCCAGGTAATTTGTGTCATGTAAAATTTATGAAAATGTAAATGGGCCTTTTTTGTGTATTGTGAAGTTGGACGTTTTCTGGGAATTAATGGAGCCTTTAATGGCCAGTAGAGGAACTGATGGTTTTTAGCACTGGTGTTGGCTTCATTTTAAGACTGTTGCTGGTTAAAGTTAGACTGTGTTTGGGTAACGGTTTGGCTCTTACAAAACTGCTTTCAACAATATTCTAACAGCTCATCTAAATGTAATGAAATTACTGCTCTGACTTGTAGCTCGGGTTCAACTAAGTGGGCAAAGGCGAGGCAGGCATATGGAGGTTTTTCAAATTAATATTCATGTACCCATTTTCCCCCAACTCAAGAGCAGCTATTTCTATTGAAATCCAAACTAAAGAGCCTGAATTACTGTTTTGTTTCAGCTGGCAGGCAGGCAGATGACATCGTCAACTGGCTGAAGAAGCGCACAGGGCCCGCCGTTGCCACCCTGAATGAGGTCACCGACGCAGAGTCTCTGATCGCTGATAATGAGGTGGCAGTCATCGGATTCTTCAAGGTGCGAATCGGATCTCTATAACTGAAATGTGTTTACGGTGTCATCTCTAAAAGCAGAAGATTAGTCCTAATTCCTGCCTTTCCTTTAAAAATATATATATATATATATATATATTGTCGTGTTGCTATCAAAGCACAGAGGTTGAAGCTACTGCAAGTGTCAGTCAGAGGATTGCTGTTTGTCTTTTAGGATGCAGAGTCTGCTGGTGCCCAGGCCTATGAAAAAGCAGCTCAGGCCATAGATGACATTCCCTTCGCCAAGACCTCCAACGATGCCGTTTACTCCAAGTTTGAAGTGTCCAAGGACGGCGTTGTCCTCTTCAAGAAGGTGACTCTCAAATATTCTCTTGCGTCTGTTTGTACACAAACATGTGGACAAACTGTGTTCACAGGACATCATGAAGACTTAGCTCTCTTACTGACTTCATTTAAAGCTGTTACTCAATCTGAGGTGTAATCGGAATACATTGTAAATATGTTGTTTGTGCCTGTGAAACACACTTTCATGTGTGAGTATTTACAGTGGAGCTGCAGAAGACGCCACAGCTGTGTCTCTGATCCACACCTCTGTAATTTGATGCTGTTGAACCCTCAGTATCCGCTCTCCGGTGCTAAACTTGGCTCGTTTGAGCTACTCGAGCGTTTAAGACGTGCACTTTGCTCGCCCTCACGGTCGTGCATGTTGTTAGGTTACTGTCTGTCCTCCAAGCAGCTCCCGTTGGCTAAAGGCAGAGGATGAATGCATGTATTTTGAATGCCTTCCTATAAGCCTGTATAGGTAATAAAACTCACTATAATTTACACAAGAGGTCATTAACTACAGCCATCTCATCAGTTTGTTATCTGCAGTGCAGTCAGCCTGTTGATTCATCAGATTGAGTCAAAGTCCAGAGGATCTTTCAGAAGTGGTGCGTTGGCAACCATGTAACACGAGGAACCTATGGAAATGAAAACCGCTGAAAATTTACAATATCAATTACAATGCAAATATCAGTTACGAAAAGTCTGTGGATGTTTTATTGGCCAAGTGTGTTCACATGATGTCAATGTTAACCTCAAAATCATGTCGGTTACATAAGAAATTCAAAAGAGCTCAAATTTAAAGAACATGTAAAAACAATGGCAGATTACTTGATTTAAAAAAATGGGTTTGAAAACATTTTCACTAAAATAAAAACAAACTAGAGTTTAGAAAAAACTGAAACAGTAATGTGTACCTAAAGCTAAAATAATGTAGTTAATATCATTTTAGTTTTTATTTTGTACTTTTTCCAATTTTATAGTACATGCAAACAAAAATATGAAAAAGGAACACAAAAGAAACAAACTAAATATCATTTTAGTTTTAGTGGTTGTCAGTTTGGTAAAATGTGCCAGCAGCTCCTGCCTGGTCACTTTGTTGAATGTGTTTATTCAGATGTTTGGTGTCTGCATGAGTTTTTTCCCTGAGCAATGATCAACAGTGAAACTCAAGAAACCGAAACATTTTCACACAGCAAAATCTGAACTATGAGCAAATCCTGGAAACTCGACTCAAATTTAAAAGCTGCTGTGATGCCTTGCGTTGGTTTCTGGACTAACCCTTGGTGCAGTGGTTGCTGCCATGTTAGTTTTTTGGAGCCAAAGGCGGCTGAAATGACAAACAGCTGACACTAGGAAGCTCTGTTAGATAGCTGCGTCTGTAAATTGTGATGGTACAACACACATGCACAGATGCCTGCTAACAAGTGCTGAATGTAACAGAGAAGAAGTAAAGCATAAACTTAAACTGCTGCAGCACAGCAAACAATGTTAACACAAAGAAGGTGCCAAGATCCGGTTTGATGACAGAATAATTGAGTTGAGGGCGAGCAGGCAGCTAGCAGTAGCTAGGTTAATCACACCGGTTAATCGTAGTGATTGCACCCAAAACTTTAAACCGCATCAAGCGTGATTATTTTTAAGAAGTGTACCACTCTGTTTTTTTTTGTTTTAAATGCCATAAAGGGGGGGAATGGATTTGGCTGGTGTCGAACATTTTGCCCTGCGTGTGCTGCCAGTTTGTCAGTATTTAGAGCCACCTCTAAAAGAATATGAACACTCGGAGCAAAGTGTTACTAATTAACTAGAACGCTTCAGTTTTAATTATCTTATCTGAAGCTTCAGGTTTCTAAACAATGGCATGTTGAGTTTTTCATAGCTTTATGCTGTCAGCAGAGACAGGAAAGCAGCTTTATCTCTTGATAGATGGAAAGTAATCTTGCAAACACAATAACAGTATTTTCAAACCTAACCTTAAACTGTGACACTGCACATGTGTGTCCACGCACTGCAGGACAGCTACTGGCCTATTTCTGACATCGGTGTGTGCTAGGGCTGCCACGATTAGTCGACTAGTCACGATTACGTTGACTATCAAAATCGTCGACGACTGATTTAATAGTCGA